GGGGTGGCAGCATCATGCTGTGGGGGTGCTTTGCTTCAGGAGGGACTGGTGCACTTCACAAAATAGATGGCATCATGAGAAAGGAAAATTATGTGGATATATTGAAGCAACATCTCAAGACATCAGTCAGGAAGTTAAAGCTTGGTCGCAAATGGGTCTTCAAAATGGACAATGACCCCAAACATACTTCCAAAGTTGTGGCAAAATGGCTTAAGGACAACAAAGTCAAGGTATTGGAGTGGCCATCACAAAGCCCTGACCTCAATCCTATAGAAAATGTGTGGGCAGAACTGAAAAAGCGTGTGTGAGCAAGGAGGCCTACAAACCTGACTCAGTTACACCAGCTCTGTCAGGAGGAATGGGCCAAAATTCACCCAACTTATTGTGGGAAGCGTGTGGAAGGCTACCCGAAACGTTTGACCGAAGTTTAACAATTTAAAGGCAATGCTACCAAATACTAATTGAGTGTATGTAAACTTCTGACCCACTGGGAATGTGATGAAAGAAATAAAAGCTGAAATAAATCATTCTCTCTACTATTATTCTGACATTTCACATTCTTAAAATAAAGTGGTCAGGGAATTTTTACTAGGATTAAATGTCAGGAATTGCGAAAAACTGAGTTTAAATGTATTTGGCTAAGGTGTATGTAAACTTCTGACTTCAACTGTATATACTGTATTCTATTCTATAATATTCTACTGTATCTTAGTCCATGCCGCTCTGTCATTGCTTGTCCATATATGTACAGTGAGGGAAAAAAGTATTTGATCCCCTGTTGATTTTGTACGTTTGCCCACTGACAAAGAAATTATCAGTCTATAATTTTAATGGTAGGTTTATTTGAACAGTGAGAGACAGAATAACAACAAAAAAATCCAGAAAAACACATGTTAAAAATGTTATAAATTGATTTGCATTTTAATGAGGGAAATAAGTATTTGACCCCTCTGCAAAACATGATTTAGTACTTGGTGGCAAAACCCTTGTTGGCAATCACAGAGGTCAGACGTTTCTTGTAGTTGGCCACCAGGTTTGCACACATTTCAGGAGGGATTTTGTCCCACTTCTCTTTGCAGATCTTCTCCAATCATTAAGGTTTCGAGGCTGACGTTTGGCAACTCAAACCTTCAGCTCCCTCCACAGATTTTCTATGGGATTAAGGTCTGGAGACTGGCTAGGCCACTCCAGGACCTTAATGTGCTTCTTCTTGAGCCACTCCTTTGTTGCCTTGGCCGTGTGTTTTGGGTCATTGTCATGCTGGAATACCCATCCACGACCCATTTTCAATGCCCTGGCTGAGGGAAGGAGGTTCTCACCCAAGATTTGACGGTACAAGGCCCCGTCCATCGTCCCTTTGATGCGGTGAAGTTGTCCTGTCCCCTCAGCAGAAAAACACCCCCAAAGCATAATGTTTCCACCTCCATGTTTGACGGTGGGGATGATGTTCTTGGGTCATAGGCAGCATTCCTCCTCCTCCAAACACGGCGAGTTGAGTTGATGCCAAAGAGCTCGATTTTGGTCTCATCTGACCACAACACTTTCACCCAGTTCTCCTCTGAATCATTCAGATGTTCATTGGCAAACTTCAGACTTCCCTGTATATGTGCTTTCTTGAGCAGGGGGACCTTGCGGGCGCTGCAGGATTTCAGTCCTTCACGGCGTGTATGTTACCAATTGTTTTCTTGGTGACTATGGTCACAGCTGCCTTGAGATCATTGACAAGATCCTCCCGTGTAGTTCTGGGCTGATTCCTCACCGTTCTCATGATCATTGCAACTCCACGAGGTGAGATCTTGCATGGAGCCCCAGGCCCGAGGGAGATTGACAGTTATTTTGTGTTTCTTCCATTTGCGTATAATCGCACCAACTGTTGTCACCTTATAATAATAATAATAATAATATGCCATTTAGCAGACGCTTTTATCCAAAGCGACTTACAGTCATGTGTGCATACATTTTTACATATGGGTGGTCCCGGGGATCGAACCCACTACCCTGGCGTTACAAGCGCCGTGCTCTACCAGCTGAGCTACAGAGGACCTTCTCACCAAGCTGCTTGGCGATGGTCTTGTAGCCCATTCCAGCCTTGTGTAGGTCTACAATCTTGTCCCTGACGTCCTTGGAGTGCTCTTTGGTCTTGGTCATGGTGGAGAGTTTGGAATCTGATTGATTGTGTCTTTTATACAGGTAACAAACTGAGATTAGGAGCACTCCCTTTAAGAGTGTGATACTAATCTCAGCTCGTTACCTGTATAAAAGACACCTGGGAGCCAGAAATCTTTCTGATTGAGAGGGGGTCAAATACTTACTTCCCTCATTAAAATGCAAATCAATTAATAACATTTTTGACATGCGTTTTTCTGGATTTTTTTGTTGTTATTCTGTCTCTCACTGTTCAAATAAACCTACCATTAAAATTATAGACTGATCATTTCTTTGTCAGTGGGCAAACGTACAAAATCAGCAGGGGATCAAATACTTTTTTCCCTCACTGTGTATATGATATGTTGTGAAATTGTTAGATATTACTTGTTAGATATTACTGCACTGTCGGAGCTAGAAGCGCAAGCATTTCGCTACACCCGCAATAACATCTGCTAAACACGTGTATGTGACAAATACATTTTGATTTGATTTGAAAACATATAGATTCAATGGTTGTAAAGATGGGGAGAGGTCTGTATGTAATAAAGAGATGCTCTGCTTTTTTGACACCACACTCCACAAAGCAAGTCCTGCAGGCTCTAGTTTGATCTTATCTTGATTATAGTCCAGTCATATGGTCAAGTGCTGCAAAGAAAGACCTAGTTAAGGTGCAGCTGGTCCAGAACAGAGCGGCACGTCTTGCTCTTCATTGTAATCAGAGGGCTAATATTAATACTATGCTTGCCAGTCTCTCTTGGCTAAGAGTTGAGGAAAGACTGACTGAATCACTTCTTGTTTTTATAATAAACATTAATAAGTTGGAAATTCCAAATTGTTTGCATAGTCAACTTACACACGACACTGACACACACACTTACCCCACCAGACATGCCACCAGGGGTCTTTTCACAGTCCCCAGTTCCAGAACAAACGCAAGGAAACAAACAGTATTATACAGAGCCATGAGTGCATGGAACTCCCTTCCATCTTATATAGCACAAGTGAACAGCAAACCTGGTTTCAAAAAAACAAATAAAGCAACACCTCACAGCACAACGCTTCTCCCCCATGTGACCTACTTGTTGTGTGTATTTATTGACATGTATGTTTAACTGATAGATGCACACACACACTACATGTTAATGTTTTTAAATGTATGTAAATTATTTTGTCTGTAATGTCTTTTTAGTTATACGTCGGACCGCAGTAAGACTAGCTGTCACCATTGGCGTCGGCTAATGGGGATCCCACGGGGGACCAGTACCAAAAAAGTATACAAATGTATGCACTCACTACTGTAAGTCGCTCTGGATAAGAGTGTCTGCTAAAGACTAAAATGTAAGTGTAAAAACAAATCTAATAAAATCCTTACCTGTAAATCAATCAATCAATCAACTACCAACCTTTCAAAAAAAATGAAGGAACCAAAGATATTTATAACTAGTTTTATAACTAGTTCATCAAGATAGTTCATCTGTTTCGTTTACAGTGGGCGCAAATACAGCACAATGGGCAGAACAAGCAAGGAGGTGGGCAAAGCCAAGCACTAGCTAGCGAGATCCTATTGGCGCGCTCTAGCAAGTATTTGCATATTTCCGTTAGGGAACGCCTCCACTGTGAACGCCTCCTCTGTGAAGTGCGCGTGTGCACAAACTCTGCACGCTCCTTCTAAACAACGCAATTTTTTAAAACTTTGACAAAGCGTCAAGTCTGTAAAACGTAGTGCACTGTGTTCGTAACAGATGTTAGTTTTGGGAACAGAAAAATGTATTGAGATCAGATGTTTCATCGATGAGAAGATTACCTAAATGTCGGCTCAGTTTCACTTAGATCCATCCTCTTCCACTACCCGCGACTGGACTTCCTCTCACTACCATATTTGGTGGTGAGAAAACGTTCTAGACCGACGCTTCAGCTTTATAGACCCTATGACGTGTCTGGGTTACCCCTTCGTCTGTACCATAAACATCAATTTTACTTCAAGGTATTGCATTCTGGGAACAGATGTTATTTTATCCCGCGTCTTTTCTGTTCTCTAACGGCTTGTCCGTGAGATGAGAACACTACTTCCCATAATGCAAATGTACTTTTTATTTATTTCTTTTTTATCAAAGTTGGTCCGTCTGCGGTGTAATGGAATTGGAAAATGAGAACAGCGAAAGGAGTAACCGAGCAGATAAAATGGAAAATATTGCAAAAATTGCACATTGATATCAAATATGCAACAGTACGGCAGTTGTATTAGCGACGGTTCGTTATGACAGACGTTGCACAGTGTTCTGTCTTGCTCCGTTTTTGTTGTTAGCTACATGGACGTTGAACTAGCTGGCTAGCCACCTCCCTGTTACGAGCAACGCCGGGGTGTAACGTTGTTCTTCGTTTAGGCTTCGGCTCATCACCGTACTGCAGTATGTTACAGTGGCCGAAAGGAGGGCCAAGGCTCGGTGATAGCATTTGAGCGTCACCGCTGTGCAAGAGCAGCGTTAGTTCACACCATTTGTCAACAATGCACAACCCGTTGCAAGCTATAATTATTACCATCTTTTATGCAAGTTAGCCTGTCAGCTTAGTCAGTAGCTAATATTATGGCGCAGTACAGAAATTAATAGCCAGTAACATTTCAGTGCCGTGGGACAAGTGCTGCTGGTGCATTCCGAAAAGGTATGAAAGTTAGTTTTCTTGGTTAGGTTGTGAAACAGTTAAGCTATATGTCTGCTAGTTTCCAACTTGTAAATAGTCTGTTTGTGTACATCAAGTAATATTAAAGTGATTTTTCATTATTGTATCATATATAGCTACATAATTATCATGTCACTTCCATCTGCACAGCGATAAGGGATCATACAAGCAGGATGGAGCGAGGAGGCATCATGGAGCGAGCAGGCAGCATCCAGCTGGATGTCCCGGACTTCAGCAACTCTGTGCTGTCCCAACTGAACCAGCTGCGTATGCAGGGGCGGCTGTGCGACATAGTGGTGAACGTGCAGGGCCAGAGCTTCCGTGCTCACAAGGTGGTGCTGGCAGCCAGCTCCCCTTACTTCCGAGACCACATGTCGCTGAGCCAGATGAGCACTGTGTCCCTGTCAGTCATCCGCAACCCCTCTGTGTTCGATCAGCTCCTCTCATACTGCTACACAGGGAGGCTGTGCCTGCAGCTGGCCGACATCATCAGCTACCTGACGGCCGCCAGCTTCCTGCAGATGCAGCACATCATTGACCGCTGCACGCAGATCCTGGAGGGCATCCATCTAAAGATCAGCCTGGCGGAGGAGGAGCTGGGGGCCGGAGGGGGGCAGCAGGGGCACAGGGGGGCTGGGAGCTTGGAGGAAAGAAGAAGAGGAGGTGGGGTAGGAACATCAGGGGGCTCGGGCTCCCTCAGCCCGCGCCACAGCAGCCCCAGGGTTCTGGGCCCTCAAGGAAGCAGCGGCGGAGGGGCCATGGATATCCGAGAGGTGGGAAGCCCAGCGGGGGAGTCCATGAGCCCCCAGTTGGTGGAGCACAGCGGGCTGGGCCCAGAGGGTCTGCCTGGGGGGATGGAAGTGGGCAGCAGGCTGGGGAAGGAGCCCATACTGCGCATCAATCGGGCCGGCCAGTGGTACGTGGAGGCCGAGTCGGAGAGGGGGAGCGGCGGTGAAGAGGGGGAGTCGGTGCGGGTGGTGGACGGTTTGAGGATAAAGACGGAGAGGGTGGAAGAGTGGACGGGGGCTGATACCCAGGAAGAAGGCAGCGGGGCGGAAGAGGGAGCAACCATGATGATTGACACGTCCGGGTGCAGCTCGCTGGTTCAGGAGGGTATTGTCACGGGGGCCAAGAGCTCTCAGCCCTCCAACAGCTTCAGTGAGACAGAGAGGTGGGTACAAGTTCCAGGGAAGCAGTCACTTTATATAATATATATGCCATTTAGCAGACGCTTTTATCCAAAGTGACTTAGTAATGTGTGCATACATTTTTTTCCTATGAGTGGTCCCGGGAATTGAACCCATTATCCTGGCGTTGCAAGAGCCATGTTCTACCATCTGAGCTACACCATATAAAAGGAGTGTGCATGCAAGTTTTAAACTGAAGTACAATTCAGTACAAAGTACCTCAGAAAAGCACTTTGGGTAACATTTAAGGTTAATGAGTGAAAATTCTATACAAAAGCAGCCTACTGTATGTATTGCTAATGGAAGATGGAGTGCTAAGGTAAATGGCTAGGTGGACCTGCCTGCCGATGAGGATCCAGTATCTCTGTCCTGTCAGGTTTAGTCCTACTGGCAGTGTGGTGGTGATGGCAGAGAGACCGAGAGCCAAGAGTGAGTCACCCAGCAGAGCGGACGACCAGCGCCATCCCAGCTCACAGGTATGTGTCACCCTTATCGACTGGCATCCTACCCTGGTGGTCAGCACTCTACATTCCCACCATACATCGCTAGTCCAAAAAAAGCTATCTTTCAGTCCAGGGGAGATCAATGATCTTTTAAGGTCACAAGGCAAGGTTATGGATTGGTACACTAGCCAGTTACATCCTCAATGATAATAGCACTGAGCTGTGTGCTCTATGATTAAGGGGAATCATGCATGTTGTGTGCATTCCTCATGGACACGTACAAACTGAATAGAACAGCGCCGGAGGAGATGGCTGCCGTTTTACAGCCCTCTAACCAATTGTACTCATAACTCTATCCTCCTGATTCCTGCTTATAAGCAAAAACTAAAGCAGGAAGCACCAGTGACTCGGTTAATAAAAAAGTGGTCAGATGACGCAGATGCTAAGCTACAGGACTGTTTTGCTAGCACAGACTGGAACATGTTCCGGGATTCTTCAGACAGCATTGAGGAGTACACCACATCAGTCACTGGCTTCATCAATAAGTGCAGCGATGATGTCGTCCCCACAGTGACCGTACATACATACCCCAACCAGAAGCCATGGATTACAGGAAACATCCGCACTGAGCTAAAGGGTAGAGCTGCCGCTTTCAAGGAACGGGACTCTAACCCGGACGCTTATAAGAAATCCTGCTATGCCCTCCGACGAACCATCAAACAGGCAAAGAGTCAATACAGGACTAAGACTGAATCGTACTACACTGGCTCTGACGCTCGTCGGATGTGGCAGGGCTTGAAAACTATTACAGACTACAAAGGGAAGCACAGCCGTGAGCTGCCCAGTGACACAAGCCTACCAGACGAGCTAAACCACTTCTATGCTCGCTTCGAGGCAAGCAACACTGAAGCATGCATGAGAGCACCAGCTGTTCCGGATGACTATGTGATCACGCTCTCCGTAGCCGATGTGAGTAAGACTTTTAAGCAGGTCAACATTCACAAGGCCGCAGGGCCAGACGGATTACCAGGACGTTTACTCCGAGCATGTGCTGACCAACTGGCAAGTGTCTTCACTGACATTTTCAACATGTCCCTGACTGAGTCTGTAATACCAACATGTTTCAAGCAGACCACCATAGTCCCCGTGCCCAAGGACTCTAAGATAACCTGCCTAAATGACTACCGACCCGTAGCACTGACGTCTGTAGCCATGAAGTGCTTTGAAAGGCTGGTCATGGCTCACATCAACAGCATTATCCCAGAAACCCTAGACCCACACCAATTTGCATACCGCCCCAACAGATCCACAGATGATGCAATCTCGATTGCACTCCACACTGCCCTTTCCCACCTGGACAAGAGGAACACCTACGTGAGAATGCTATTCATTGACTACAGCTCAGCATTCAACACCATAGTGCCCTCTAAGCTCATCACTAAGCTAAGGATCCTGGGACTAAACACCTCCCTCTGCAACTGGATCCTGGACTTCCTGACGGACCGCCCCCAGGTGGTAAGGGTAGGTAACAACACATCTGCCACACTGATCCTCAACACGGGGGCCCCTCAGGGGTGCATGCTCAGTCCCCTCCTGTACTCTCTGTTCACCCATGACTGCATGGCCAGGCACGACTCCAACACCATCATTAAGTTTGCCGACGACACAACAGTGGTAGGCCTGATCACCGACAACGATGAGACAGCCTATAGGGAGGAGGTCAGAGACCTGGCCGTGTGGTGCCAGGACAACAACCTCTCCCTCAACGTGACCAAGACAAAGGAGATGACTGTGGACTACAGGAAAAAAAAGAGGACTGAGCACGCCCCCATTCTCATCGACGGGGCTGTAGTGGAACAGGTTGAGAGCTTCAAGTTCCTTGGTGTCCACATCACCAACGATCTATCATGGTCCAAACACACCAAGACAGTCGTGAAGAGGGCACGACAAAGCCTATTCCCCCTCAGGAGACTGAAAAGATTTGGCATGGGTCCTCAGATCCTCAAAGAATTATACAGCTGCACCATCGAGAGCATCCTGACTGGTTGCATCACCGCCTGGTATGGCAACTGCTTGGCCTCCGACCGCAAGGCACTACAGAGGGTAGTGCGTACGGCCCAGTACATCACTGGGGCCAAGCTTCCTGCCATCCAGGACCTCTATACCAGGCGGTGTCAGAGGAAGGCCCTCAAAATTGTCAAAGACTCCAGCCACCCTAGTCATAGACTGTTCTCTCTGCTACCGCACGGCAAGCGGTACCGGAGTGCCAAGTCTAGGTCCAAAAGACTTCTCAACAGCTTCTACCCCCAAGCCATAAGACTCCTGAACAGCTAATCATGGCTACCCGGACTATTTGCACTGCCCCCCCACCCCATCCTTTTTACGCTGCTGCTACTCTGTTAATTATTTATGCATAGTCACTTTAACTCTACCCACATGTACATATTACCTCAACTAGCCGGTGCCCCCGCACATTGACTCTGCAACGGTACCCCCCTGTATATATAGCCTCCCTACTGTTATTTTATTTTACTTCTGCTCTTTTTTTTCTCAACACTTTTTTTGTTAAAAATAAATGCACTGTTGGTTAAGGGCTGTAAGTAAGCATTTCACTGTGATGTCTGCACCTGTTGTATTCGGCGCATGTGACCAATAAAATTTGATTTGATTTGAAACACAGAGGCTATGTGATGATGATGATGCAGGCCCTGTGGAAGTCCTTAATCACATTTCATAAATACTCCATAATACATAAATACTTTCCCCAACACCCATGACTGCAGCTTATAATAAGGGTCTTGATTAAGACATAACTATTATGGGAACCCATGACAGAAGTGTGGTGCCTTCGACAACAATTCCACCTGCAAATAGCAATTATACACTGAGTCTACAAAACATTAGGAACACCTTCCTAATATTGAGTTGCACCCCCTTTTGCCCTCAGAACAGCCTCAATTCGTCGGGGAATGGACTCTTCAAGGTGCCGAAGGCATTCCACGGGGATGCTGGCCCATGTTGACTTCAATGCTTCCTACAGTTGTGTCAAGTTGGCTGGATGTCCTTTGGGTGGTGGACCATTCTTGATACACACGGGAAACGGTTGAGTGTGAAAAACCCAGCAGCGTTGCAGTTCTTGACACAAACCGGTGCGCCTGGCACCTACTACCATACACCGTTCAAAGGCACTTAAATCGTTTGTCTTGCCCATTCACCCTCTGAATGGCACATATACACAATCCATGTCTCAAGGCTTAAAAATCCATCTTTAACCTGATTTAAGTGGATTTAACAGGTGACATCCATAAGGGATCAAAGTTTTCACCTGGTCAGTCTGTCATGGAAACAGCAGGTGTTCCTAATGTTTTGTACAGTGTATTACAATGAGTGTTGACACAAAGTCTGAGATGTACCTCTTGTTTATCTGTGGTTTGTCTGCCAGGGGGAGGAGCAGGCTGTGTTCGGCGGCTACGAGGAGTACCTGCGTGAACAGGTGGGTGACCGCTGGTTCCGCTACAACCCTCGACTCACCTGCATCTACTGCTGCAAGTCCTTCAACCAGAAGGGCAGCCTGGACCGCCACATGAGGCTGCACATGGGCATCACACCTTTCGTGTGCCGCATCTGTGGCAAGAAATACACCCGCAAGGACCAGCTGGAGTACCACATCCGCAAGCACACAGGAAACAAGCCCTTCCATTGCCACGTCTGCGGCAAAAGCTTCCCCTTCCAGGCCATCCTCAACCAGCACTTCCGCAAGAACCACCCGGGCTGTGCCCCTCAGGAGGTGGCCCACAGCGCCTCCCCAGAGACCACCACTGTCTCCTCCCGGGGGGGCCAGAACGAGGAGGGGTCGCCCAGCCAGGAGGAGCCAGAGGGGGGTACCGGTGGAGGTGGGGCCTCTTTCAGAGAGGGTGTCCAGGCCTCTGTCTCCACCACTGGGCCTGATTGACCCAGTGGACCAGGGAGGGTGATGGTTGGGGTATAGGAGGACAGGGTATATGTTTGGCTGGGGGCAATTAGGCTATTGGTTTGTACTCTCCTGCCAGGGGAGGAAAGAAAATGTATCTTGAAGTTGCTTCAAAGGAAAGGATGAAAAGGGGAGTAGGTGATTTTCAGAGGGTTTCAAGTCCATCCAGGGTGTGATTTTTATAAACATTTAAAAAATCCTTTCAACTAAACAGCAGGGACAGGAGAGCGATGCAACAGAGTAGTTTAATAGGGCACTTTGTAATATGTCGTTATTTATAAATGATATTTCCGCTTTAAACCACATCTACCTTCACAATACAAACATGAACAGATTAAGCCAACGCATGAAGAAATGCCACAAACTCCCAATAACCTCACAACACTGAATGCAGTGGTTTTTATTTGACTATTTTCTTATGTTACAGTTTTATACTTTTGTATTACTGGTTTTACAGGTTCAGAATGCAGAAAAATAACAGGTTGATCTGGTCATAATTTATATTAATATTGCCAAAATACTGTACCAGTATAATATCTACATACCTAGTCAATTCTTGCCTTTTGTCTTGAGACAATCTTGAGCAGTTGAGAGTCCGTGATAGATAATCAGACTCCTCTTCATACAGTATATGGGCAATTCCACATGAATAGTAGATATGGCCCAGTGAACAAAACCAGTTAATTTGGTAGTGAGTAATGGGTAAAATGATTAAAATAACACTTCACTTTATTGACTGATGTTGGTCTTATGACCATTTTATGTAATGCGTCTTAACACGGCTAAATGCGTTCAGAAGTATACCATTATTTAATCAGTGCAACATTTTTACAGATGTATTAAGATATTGGCAAAGGTAAAAGAGGCCTTTAAAGAGGACTCTTGTTAATCCATATGTATTTGACCCATATCTCCACATTCTTCAACCAGCTGCTGAATGCATACTTCTATACAGGAACACTTAACACAGGAAACTCAATGTTTTTTAACCTCAGATAAGCTACAATAAAACTCTTACCTCTCACACATCACTACGCAATATAGCTCTGCTCCAAGCAGATTGGTCGATGCACTCAGCCGAATTGACAGTATGTTTTCTCATTTTTCTATGTTGTGGTTAACTACTTTTTTTTTTACAAGTGACTTGTTTTTGCATAAGCGTGTGTCTTCGGAACATTTTTATCTAGCTCTGACAATGTATCTGGAGGATGTAGAGACGAGACAAGATTGTAATGGAGGACACTCGTATCCCTATTGGGGGTGTTCTAAGGAAGAGAGACGAGACTCTGCAGCTGTACTGTAGTACCACCCAAGAGAAAGCCGGAGCCCACTGATGCTACAGATGTCCCAACACCAGAGGATAGACACTCAGCCTGCATGCTTGCTACAGTGGAGTGTGTTCCACTGGAAATCAATCATTAAGAAGAGGAGGCATCCAAAGGAATTGAGAGGTCAAGCCAAGGGTCGGATTTCCCTCCCTCGAAGGGAGGCCAAAATAACTACGCCAAGCACTTCAAGAAAGGAGGGGTATATATCGCAAATTCATATTTAAACAAATGTAACTTTAAAAAAACAATGTATGCAGATAAAGGGTAGCACAGTGGATTGGCCGTTACTGTTCTTTTCTTTTAGAACTGTGAATCATTTGTGCGTGTGACGGGAGTTAATGAATGGGTGTATGCAAGTGGAAAAACATTTACCGATTGGTCCACTGGGTTTTTCTTATCCGAATTGAGAATGCGTTACACATCACCACAGTACACCTCGGTTAATATTCGTCAGACATAAACAGATCAACATTTGTTATATCAGGTATTTTTGTTTGTATTTTTGTTTACCGTTTTTAAGTTTACTCTGTTTGTACGTAACTTTTAAGGGGTTTTAGATAAACCATTATGCTTGGGCTACCTGCAGTGAAATCTTACAGCAAGCCTTATTTAGCAAGTGCAGCTAAACAATGATTAAATATATACTGAACAAAAATATAAATGCAACATGCAACAATTTCAAAGATGTTGAGTTACAGTTCATATAAGGAAATCAGTCAATTTAAATAAATTCATTAGGCCCTAATCTATGGATTTCACATGACTGGGCAAGGGCACAGCCAATCGGAATGAGTTTTTCCCCACAAAAGGGCTTTACAGACAGAAATACTCCTCAGCACCACCTCAAATGATCCCGCATGTGAAGAAGCCGGATGTGGAGGTCCTGGGCTGGCGTGGTTACAAGTGGTCTGCGGTTGTGAGGCCGGTTGGACGTACTGCCAAATTCTCTGCCAAATTCTCTAAATGACATAGATTGTGGATTGGCGGCTTATGGTAGAGAAATGAACAAATTCTTTGGCAACAGCTCTGGTGAACATTCCTGCAGTCAGCATGCCAAATGCACGCTCCCTCAAAACTTGAGACATCTGTGGCATTGTGCTGTGTGACAAAACTGCTCATTTTAGAGTGGCCTTTTATTTTCCCCAGCACAAGGTGCACCTGTGTAATGATCATGCCGTTTAATCAGCGTCTTGATATGCCACACCTGTCAGGTGGATGGATTATCTTGGCAAAGGAGAAATGCTCACTAACAGGGATGTAAACAAATTTGTGCAAAAAAATTGAGAGAAATAAGCTTTTTGTGCCTATGGAAAATTTCTGGGATCTTTTATTTCAGCTCATGAAACATCGGACCAACACTTTACATGTTGCGTTTATATTTTTGTTCAGTATATGTATTGATAACATATGTTCTTTTTTAAATGAAGACACCATTATGGCAGTAGCAATGCAGCTATTATCTTATATTGAAACTAGGGATGCACAAATTTGGAAATTCTTGGTCGATAACCAATATTTTCTTGTCCATGATGGCTGATACCAATATGGCATTACAAGTATTGTGTGAACAACTAGCTATTCATCAAAATACATTTTTTAAAATAATTAGTTAAGGTCAAACATATTTTCACCTAGAAACACTTTCCATTGCACCTTGTGTGTCATTTTATTGTAGCTCAGATTTAAAGCACCAATCAGCAGTTAAAACAATAACAAAGTGTACTCCCCACCCCTGTTTCGGTAAAAAGCTGAGGGACGGGTCTTGAGAAATGAAACCACTCAAATTCATAGACAAAGTTATGGATGCAAGAACTGACCATCCATGCTTAAATAATGATAGTTTAAACCATGTTTTGAGGCTATATAGTTTGTTTACATTTACTTTCTTTACAAACATTGAGTAAAACAATCTTATTTTGGGTTCTGATGGGGTTCGACAGTATGTTATATTATTCAAGAATCAATGGGTATATATAATTCATTTGAGTCCAACCATGTATGTAGCAACTGCCGATTGCCCCTTTAACACTATAAGTCCAGAATATCAGTCGTTTCTCAGCCATTATCGGTTGATACCGTTATGAAGGCAGATACAGTATCATGCATCCTTGATTGAAACATAAGTATTTGAATACTCATGGTCGTAGCATGAAGATTCTTTACAATGAGATTGCTTCAGCTAACAAGATTTGAAGATTGTCTTGAATTGTTCATTGATGGAAGATTTAAGTGAACATTTTAGTCACACTCCCAGTTAATGCGTGTAAGCCAGTGGTCACCAACCTTGGTCCTGGAGAGCAACAGATTATGCTGACTTTAGAATTAAAACATTCCAGTGCATGCATAGCATTCCGAAGTAGAACTAAAGTGGAATCATTTTAATTGACAGTAGATTTTCAGATACAGTAGATTTCATTCATCTTAGAGGTATAGTACATTACAAACCTTGATGCTGGCAAACCTGGAATCCAGATTGAAAAGTTTTCCTATATTATGAAAATGTGTAAAAAACGATTTTTAAACAATTACTATGAAACAGAATACAACTCATTTTGTTAAAAATAATAATTCTCACCAGGTACCAGGTTTGCTTGATTTACATTTGGTTTGAATAGCCTTTTGGTGGGGTTTGACCAATATTTATTGTTTCATGCCTTTTTCTTTGTTTATAACTAAAATGGCTTTTGTTAATTTTTTTTTATAGGCTTTAACTGCGCAGAAGACAAATGTGTATTTGTATGATTATTGAACCCTTGTATGTGGATTGTTACTGCTGAATGTAGATCAATGACAGGAACAAGCTATCGTGAACTAGCCTCTAGTTTGAGCAAACAACAGATTTATGGCGGTTTTCATCGTCTCCACTTACCTCTATGTCCTGTGAAGATTCTTACTAAGCTAGTGAGAGGATGTCAATAATACAGATATAGTTTATTGAAGTACTGTCCTTAAAAGTCCTGTTTTGACCCATCTGTCCAACTGTGAAAAACAACATATGTAGCTAAAAAATGTTAAGGAATCCAAACATTTCAGTTACTTTAATGAATGGTCAAGCTGAGCCCATATTTAGCAGCGATGCATGTCTTTGTCATAGGTTTTTAATGCCAAACTTGGGAAAGTTCCTTTATCTATATATTTTCTCCAAAACTTGCCAAATAATGATTTATTAGGTGATATTTAATATACTCTACATTTTATTGTGCTATTATGTCCTTGTTTTGCTGATTCATTGAGCTCTTGTGTCTTATCAGATATATTATTTAACAGTTGTCTCAATGTTTATACACAAAGATGCATACGTACAGTGCATTCGGAAAGTATTCAGACCCCTTGACTTTTTCCACATTGTTACAATACAGCCTTATTCTAAAATTGATTAAATATTTTTTTTCCCCTCGTCAATCTACACACAATACCCCATAATGCCAAAGCAAAAACAGGTTTTTAGAAATTCATGCAAATGTTTTAAAAATAAAAAACAGAAATACCTTATTTACATAAGTATTCAGACCCTTTTCTATGAGACTCGAAATTGAGCTCAGGTGCATCCTGTTTCCATTGATCATCTTTGAGATGTTTCTAAACTGGATTGGACTCCATCTGTGGTAAATTCAAATTGATTGGACATGATTTGGAAAGGCACACATCTGTCTATAATAAGGTCCCAAGCCATGAGGTCGAAGGAATTGTCCGTATAGTTCCGAGACAGGATCGTGTCGAGGCACAGGTCCCCAAGAACACAGTGGCCTCCATCATTCTTAAATGGAAGAAGTTGGGAACCACCAAGACTCTTCCTAGAGCTGGCCGCCCGGCCTAACTGAGCAATCGGGGGAGAAGGTCCTTGGTCAGGGAGGTGACCAAGAACCCGATGCTCACTCTGAATGAGCTCCAGAGTTCCTCTGTGGAGATGGGAGAACCTTCCAGAAGGACAACCATCTCTGCAGCACTCAACCAATCAGGCCTTTATGGTAGACCGGCCAGACGGAAGCCACTCCTCAGTAAAAAGGCACATGACAGCCCGCTTGGAGTTTGCCAAAAGGCACCTAAAGACTCCCAAACCATGAGAAACAAGATTCTCTGGTCTGATGAAACCAAGATTGAACTCTTTGGCCTGAACGCCAAGTGTCACATCTGGAGGAAACGGAGCACCATCCCTTTGGTGAAGCATGGTGGTGGCAGCATCATGCTGTGGGGTTGTTTTTCAGCGGCAGGGACTGGGAGACTAGTCAGGATCGAGGGAAAGATGAACAGAGCAAAGTACAGAGATCCTTGATGAAAACCTGCTCCAGAGCGCTCAGGATCTCAGACTGGGGCGAAGGTTCACCTTCCAACAGGACAAAGACCCTAAGCACAAAGCCGAGACAACGCAGGAGTGGCTTCGGGACAAGACTCTGAATGTCCTTGAGTGGCCCAGCCAGAGCCCGGACTTGAACCCGATCTAACATCTCTGGAGAGACCTGAAAATAGTTGTGCAGCGACGCTCCCCATCCAACCTGACAGAGCTTGAGAGGATCTGCAGAGAAGAATGGGAGAAACTCCCCAAATATAGGTGTGCCAAGCTTGCAGCGTCATACCCAGGAAGACTCGAGGCTGTAATCGCTGCCAAAGGTGCTTCAACAAAGTACTGAGTAAAGGGTTTGAATACTTATGTAAATATGATATCCGTTTTTAAAAAATTACAAATTAGCAAAAAAAAAAAAAACTGTTTTTGCTTTGTCATTATTGGTTATTGTGTGTAGATTTGAGGAAAAACAACAATTTAATCAATTTTAGAATGAGGCTGTAACGCAACAATGTGGAAAAAGTAAAAGGGTCTGAATACTTTCCGAATGCACTGTATATCCAATATGGTTTTGACCACAAAATGCTTACTCCAACAAATCATTAAGCTATGTAATTAATGACTTAAAGTAAAATATGACATTAAAAATATATTCACTAAAAAAAAATCTCAAAGGAAATGGAATATATTAAATGACAATATTTAAAACATTCCCTGTCAAGTAAGGTACAAAACCAGCTGTGGTCTTGCAAGATCTTGCAGGTTATATGTGAAATTTATTTTTTATTTTGCATGGTCCTGTTCCTGAAAAAGAAACATGTATTGATTACACTGTAAAGGCCAAAGGTTGATTTGTTATTGTTTTTGATAATGTGAAAATGGGTTACTTCACAATAACCACTATATCATTTTCTTCACGAGTACATATTAAAGTACATTCTTCTTAAAGGAAATACAATTACTCATTCTTAAATACATCACAAAGTGGTCCACTGTTCATCCCATTTGGTTTATTTTAGATCGATACAGAGATCAGAAATAGGCAGTTACATGACATGAAAGTTTACATTGGGGAATGACAAATCTGAAGTGTGTGTGTGATCAGGGGTCACAGGGGTCAGCCACTCGGCCAGTGAACACTATGGTGTTGATGGTGGACTCTCGGATGAGCAGGAGGAAGGGCCGGTTGGCCACAAACACCTCCCGGTTTAAGTTTATGGAACGGCCGATGGCCATTACAACCGTGGCAGCAGTCGCCTCACTGCCTTCCTCATTCACCTGCAACAGTTGTTTATTTGTTAAGCTACTGGACAAAAATGGTTTGAAAGTTTATGATTTCCATTGATTTAATCAAGTTTATCGATGATCTTCTTTGCTTGTTAATTGTCCAATTAGGCCTAGTGCCCCACCAGATGAACGTTTGATCTGTTAATTATTATTTTTTTAAATCCCCAGCTACTTTTAGTGATGATCATTATGGATTTTTTATCATGATCCTTATGGATACTGTACATACCTCTAGGAATGCTTTATGGAATGCATCTGAAATATACAGATCATTCGTCTCATCTTCCAGGATGCCTGGCAGGCTGGCGTCCTTGGGGCTGAAGAGGTCCTCGAGCCCCATGGCCTGCAGTTTCTCCTTCAGACTGAAGCTGTCTTCGATGCGGAAGCGTGGCAGCTTCACCGACACCGAGGTTTCCCTCATGTTATGCAGCCAGCCAGTCAGCTTCTTCAAGTCCAGGTTCTCCTCCACCTTAGAACATCATCGGCAGAGCGGAAATTCAGTGTGATACAGTACACTATAATTGTCAGTGAATAGTGTAAATGATGACAGTAGGCACCCACCTCAGACAGGGGTGTATCTTTGAGAGGTAGGATCAGCACCATGGTCATGTCCTCTCCACGGTACGGCAGCTCCAGCACCTGCACCTTGTCTTCCATGAACCTGCCGTAGTGGAACTTGGTCTCCTGGTACATCATGGACACTGGGCACGTCTTTGACTTACTCACATAGAAGTCAGCCTTGAAGACATTCTTTTTGTCAAATTTGCTTTTCCACTGACCCTGTGAGACAGCAGAGGAGAAGGCGGCAGTTGAATGGAAGGAAATAGGTGCCTGGGTGGTGGCTATGGAAGGCCGAGGAGGCCAAAATTAAGTAGTTTTGGCTCAAAAGGCCCTCCATAGGCAGAGAGGAAATAAACTCAACACACCTTGAAATAGATTGTGTTGACCAGGACCAGCACAGTGTTGGAGTTCAGCGAGTCCTTCGGCAGGGTGTTCCGAATCCTGTTCTCAGTCTTGTTTGCGATCCAATCGTTGATGGTCACCCGTGAGAGCTCTGGCTTCTCCTAAAATACCCATGTTCACAGAATTGCATTTCTACATGTCTAGAATTGCTTTGGTTCAGAAAGTATTCACACCCGTTGACTTTTTCCACATTTTGTTGTGTTACAGCCTGAATTTAAATTTGATTCAATTTAGACTTGTCACTGGCTAACACACAATACCCCATAATGTCAAAGTGGAACTGTTTTTAGAAATTGTTACAAATTAATTAAAAATGAACAGCTCAAATGTCTTGAGTTAATAAGTATTCAACCCCTTTGTTATTGCAAGACTAAATAAGATCAGGAGTAAAAATGTGCTTAACAAGTCACATAATAAGTTGCATAAACTCACTTTGTGTGCAATAATAGTGTTTAACATGATTTTTTTATGACTACCTCATCTCTGTACCCCACACATACAATTCTCTATCTGTAAGGTCCCTCAGTCGAGCAGTGAATTTTGAACAGATTCAACCACAAAGACCAGGGAGGTTTTCCAATGCCTGTAAATAAGATTTCTGTATTTAATTTTTTATAAATTTCCAAAATGTCTAAAAACATGTTTTCACTTTGTCATTATGGGGTATTATGTGTAGATGGGTGAGGAAAACATATTTTATCCATTTTGAATTCAGGCTGTAACAACAAAATGTGGAATAAGTCAAGGGGTATGAATACTTTCTGAAGGCACTGTAATTACTCAGCAGTGTGAGTGCAGATAAATACCATGTAGCAATGCTCAACTTCAGTGCAAGTAATTGATTAGACTTAACGCTGGTCCATAATAGTAACAAGTGTTTTTTAACTCTTGAACACATTGTTATTAAAGAGTATATAATATATATTTGTGATGTGTGAAAACGCTAAATTAAGTAGCAGGCTATGGACAATGCAAGCGGGAAAGACCTTGAAGTTGAGTGGCATGAGTTTGGCTCCATACACCAGCTCACTGATATTCTGGTAAATCTCATTGAATGCCAGAGACTTTTCTCCGAAAAGACGATTGGCGGAGATCAGTTCTGTGGTCTTGTCTTTCTTGCGGTACAGGCGACAGTTTAGCTTGGCGAAGAAGAAATGCACTTGGTCCGACGTCTTCTCTTTGATTGTGTCAAACTCAAACACCTGAATTAAAGATTGAGACAGAGATCAGACATTGGGATGCCCTGAGCTGTTATTAGTTGTGGCTATTCATTTATTTTAATCACTGCAGGAGGAGCAAGAAAGAGTGTGAACGTGAATTGACAGAAACCCCACATTTCTAAGTTCTTCCAGCCTAATGTGTATGAAAACAAATGCTGAATGAGTCATATACTTGTAAATGTATAGTAACAGTCTCAATCTTGGTTTTATATATTGGCCTTTTGATTTGGGTTACCAGGCCCATTTAACAGTCCTGTGGGTTACGCTTCAGACCCCTTACATTCATAATCTGTTTGAGCGTGTTGTTGCAGGCGCCCAGCTTGGTCATAGCGAAGGCTGAGGAGATGCTGATAGGGGACATGAAGATGTTTTCCTCGCTGGGTTTGCCCTGGGCTAGCTGCTTGAACAGGGACAGAGCGAAGCGACTGTTGGCCTTGGACAGCTCCCACACCCGGGGATTGGTGTTCTCAGGGACTTTTTCCGGGTTAGCGTCCCCTGTCGTGGCTTCGTCCTCGGGGCTGCGGTAGATGCACCTGGGCTCCAGGGGCACGTCTTTGGGCTTGGCATTGCAGATGTCTTTGAACGCCTGGGAGGTTGACAGCAAAGGCAATAGCAGCCCCAGAGTCCACACAAACTGGGGCAGCCTCATTCTGCGGGGAGAGGGGTCTGGGTCAGGGTCAGGGTATAGCAGGGTTAATCAACTCCTTTGGTCTTTGGTCAGTGGCTAATTTAGAAACCAGCTATCTGTGTGGACTCTGGCCGATCGATGGCATGTAAGGATCAATGAAGTACCAGGGGAAGGGGAACTAGAAGACACTGCAGCTCTAGTGGACAGTGCAGCCAAAGACAATATGAAAATAGGCGGAAACTACTTCTCCAGTAGAAATTACCGATCACACGTGTAGGCAATGTCATGGCGACGTTGGCTAGCTAAGCTCATGCGCAGAAACACGCCATTGGATCTAACCGTCGTCTTGCGCGGAACTGTGCATTTGCAGACCGTCAAATCAAAGGCACAATATAAAGTTGTTTTTTACTAAATGAAAACGTGTGTTTGTCACTTTCACACGGTTGGAGTAATAACATGTTCAACTACTAAAGACATTGGCTCAAATCTAGGTTGTGCCTTTAGGAAAATTAACAAAAAGGAATCCTTTTTCACTTTTCTCATTGACTTCTCAAACCCCGGGCCTGGTCTGTTTCGCAAGTGTTCCCGAAAGTCTTGCGAAGTTGCGCCTCTAGGTGTATAGAAACTGTGCTGCAGCTCTCAAGGACTAGCGTTGGTATAGTGGTGCTATTTCCCCTAATGCAGATTTGATCTTTAAGATACCTTGAAATACTGCTGTGTTAATCATTCAAAACAATATAATTCCAATAAAAGCATGTCATATCATTTGCTTTAACACATTCAAAATGACTTTCATCCATCCCCCTCCCTAACCTAAGTCACCAGCCGCCACTGCAGCACACATTCTAACCAACACCAACACTTTTGAAAATAACTTCCACAGTCCAACATTTTCTTTACATAGTGGGAGACTGTGTAAAATAGGGAAACGCAACGTACAAAAACAAGAACCAAAGCAAACACGGGGGCTATCAATTTATTTGGGGATAATTCATAATTGTAAAGAATTTCCGCTGTTAGCTCTCCCAATACGTGATCTTCTAGTAACGCGTCGGGGGTATGTTATGGTATCACCTTATTAGAGGCAGCAAACAGTGCCCATTACATTTTCTTTAACGTGTATAATATTGTTGTCCAGCTCTTGTAAAACGTTTGGATGCGCGCAAAACCTCTCATGAAATTCATAATTGTCAACTCTAGAGTGCCATCTAAGTATGTATAGGAAAGGGATTACATTATCAACTAGGAACTACACATAACAATGAAAAACAAATTAAAATGTTGAAGTTTGAAGACTTAAAATAGAATACCATTTATGTTGAGAAGCTTTGAATTGATTGTGTTTATTCAGCTAGCCATTGACAAATAAATACCTGTTGCTAAATACGTGGAATCTTTGAACATGCAATTTGAAGCCAATCTCACCCTGGCATAACCTCTTTCAACCAAATTAAACTCTACGTAACAATATTATTATTATGAATTTACGCCTTACCTGAGGTATATTTTCCTTGTAAATTACTGTGTAAGTCTCCGCTGCTATTTGAGCTTGCGAGTCCCTCATAGGGGACAGGGTCAGTGTCCTGCAGTGCGCGGGGGCTGGAGAAAGGACCATTTACTCAGCTCAACCTTTGAAGTATTGATCGTTGGTCCCACATCAAGTGACCCAATGTTCTAATGTCTTCGCAAGTATTTGTTCATATGAAATGATACAATAGAGCCAAATGCACAGAGAATGATCACAGTGAAGAATAAATGAAGTATAGGCTCATTCGTATAATCGTACAGAATAATAGACATAGCAACAGCAAACTATCTTTAGCCTGCTTAAATATCCCATACATGGTGCAATATTGACAAGAAATGTACATATTTGAGAAAAGTGTTGCTCTACACCATATGAACAGCTGTGTGTGTGTTGAACTACAAAATACAGTTTAAAAAAGCATCCGTTTCACAATATTGTTTAATTATAGTCCCTGCCAGTAAAGAATCACTGTTGCACATAAGTTACATTTTTCTTACATTTACTTCAAACTTCCAGTTCTCCCCTCCTCAAAGAAACAAAACAAAAGCAATTGTAGTATACAAAAATGCAATCACATTTTCACACAGTGAATTCTTTAACAAAGAAAAATGGTATAACAGCTACATCCACATTGGAGAAATCTCATTCTAAACATTCCTTAAGGGAGTATAATATAAAAACAATGAAGTTAAACTTGTACCTTAATTTAAGCAAACTCTTACAAGAAAACTTGGGTAGTAGTAATCAAAAGCAATTACATTTCCCAAAGTTAGAAATTAAGTAAAAATTAAATTAAAATAAGAATACAAGAACAGCCCCATCTTATTACAATGAATTCAATTTGAGTGCAAGCAATGAGCGTGTTCAGCGTGAACAAGAAAACAATCTGAAACGAAGCGGTCTCTCCCATTGGGACATGGCCGCTCACATGGAAATCAACTCCTAATAATACCCATCGCCTGTCAGGGTGGTTTAATGTCACATTTGGTGATCCTGTGTTCCTTATTTTTTAACTCATCGTATGATTGCTAATAAGGACAACTAAGTCCAAAGAAGTAAACAATTCTACATTATTTAGTAAAATGAATCACTGAACAAGACATTTCCTGGACAAGATTGTGACATTCTTGGCAAAGAATTCAGAAGTTACTCGTGTTGTCTTGGTGTATGGCTATCCTACTGTCAAGTGTTACTGTGTTTACCCAATACTTGTCTGAATGATCATCACACATTTCATTTAAATTAGAAAGTATAAATTAAGACTACTGTGATCTCTCCACAACTTCCAAAAACGAACACCTTTTAGAAGGGTAGGAAAGAAAAGCCCCTCGGAAAAGGCAGATAGATGTCTTTCCTCAAATCAATTCTGGCGAGCCTAACACCATCTAAAACACAGACCAAACAATGCTACATGACAGCCAAAACATGCCAAACATAATTTCCCTGGTTTCTATGAAACATACATCAAATGGCTATGTAAACAAACAGGCGAGTTTCCCGGTATTAATGGATCTTTAATATTAATGGGTCAGAGTTTTACAAGTGTAAAACTCGTAACGCAAAACTTCCGGGAAACTCACCCCAGCAGAGATTCTGGCACTGAACTCCTTTGTCTCAGAAAGGATAAGCGGTTCCTCGGCTCTGCATTGGCAATCAGCCGATTGACTCATGTTTGCAGGGCTGATTCGTAGAGACCATTTAATATAAATGCTGACTCTTGAAGGAGTTTAATTAACAGTTGCAAGTTGATGTACTGTATAGACAAACCTACAGGTATGCATGTTAAAACTTTGAAATAGTCAATAGCCTGCTGGAAGGCAGGTCACATTTCTTAAGCGTCAACCAGTGCTCAACAATAGAGCGACTGAGACCAGACAGTATTCAAAAGATAGCAGTGACGGTATGGAGCCAAGATAATTCCTATGCAGATACTATATAAAGGATCACATTTACTAAGCACTTGTGAATTTTGCCCCTTTTTTCTAATGAAATGAATACTTCAAAAACTTTACAAGGACATACATAAACATGCATGTTTAAGTTTCAATATTATATTAATTTGAAAAAAGGTGAAAATGTTACACCAGCGCAAATACTTACTTATGAAAATATCATTAAGCAACAGACGGGGCTTTAAACAACAGCTTAATTAAAAATGGTTCCCTCAATGATGGGCCAAGATGATCATAATACTGTACCTCTGCAAAAACAAAGATACACAATTGTGAAACGTATGCAAACGAAGTAATTTGACAAACCCAGAAAAGTAGTTAACGTAAAAGTGTTAATTATCTTTCCCAGTGCGGGCAATGGCAGTTCCTTCTGGTTAATACCTCTTCATGCAAGGAAAATGCTAAATTCTGATAGACAGCAGTTCTTAGACACCATCATGGCATGTTAAGTAGCCGAACATTCTGACTACACCGGGCACGCGCGTGCCATCGTGCGCATGTTGATTTTGTCCATCCACACCAGATGCCACCAGGACACGCAGGTTGAAATATCAAAACGAACTCTGAACAAACTATATTAATTTGGGGACAGGTCGAAACACATGAAATATTCATTTACATTTAACTAGCTAGCTTGCTGTTGCTAGCTAATTTGTCCTGGGATATAAACATTGGGTTGTTATTTTAACTGAAACGCACAAGGTCCTATTTTTCTGGATCTTTGTAGAATTTTGAACCACACAAAATGTTGTGTTCTCTACTCCGACACTTAATCCACAGATAAAAGGGGAAACTAAAAGTTTATAGTAAACTCTCCTCCTTCAGTAGTAGTCTTCTTCTGTGTACTTTTTTGTCGGTTGGCAACCAACTTTAAGGTGCATTACCACCACCAAGTGGACTGGAGTGTGCACCTCAGTTGATCTGTGTGTACATTTATTTTGAGTGGTGTGGTCAGCTTGCAAAATAAATGTACACATACATGTTATTCAAGCATTTCATCTAAACTGCTCGCAAGCGTCTGTCCATGAATGTTTTATGTGTTTTCCCTGTCCCCAAATTAATATAGTTGGTTCAGAGTTCGTTTTGATATTTCAACCTGCGTGTCTGGATCGTGCCTGGTGTGGATATACAAAATCAACATATGCACACGCGTGCCCAGTGTAGTCAGCATGTCACCCATGAAGCATAGCAATATAAAAAAAACAGGTGAGGTAAACCAAATTTTGTCTCTACAATGCATCACATCACAGCAAAGCTTTTGTATCCAATCTTTACGATTGCTTAAATGTGAAGTGCTTTCCCAAGCAATAGCAACAAAAAACAACCATAACAGTATAATTATAATCAAAATAATGTTACACAGCGATTATACGTTTAAAAGCGGTCCCACCTAAATCTGTGCTTTTAAGATCATAGGATGCCTTGAGAGACCAGTATGTTGGTCTACAAAATAGTAACAAACATAAAAAAAGAGGCAAATAACTGTGAATAAATGTACGAAGAACATACACTACCGGTCAAAAGTTTTAGAACACCTACTCATTCAAGGGTTTTTCTTTATTTTTACTATTTTCTATATTGTAGAATAATAGTGAAGATATCAAAACTATGAAATAACACATATGGAATCATGTAGTAACCAAAAATGTGTTAAACAAATCAAAATATATTTTATATTTGCGATTCTTCAAATTGCCACCCTTTGCCTCAATGACAGCTTTGCACACTCTTGGCATTCTCTCAACCAGCTTCATGAGGTAGTCACCTGGAATGCATTTCAATTAACAGGTGTACCTTGTTAAAAGTTAATTTGTGGAATTTCTTTCCTTCTTAATGCGTTTGAGACAATCAGTTGTGTTGTGACAAGGTAGGGAAGATAGATAGCCCTATTTGGTAAAAAAACAAGTCCATATTATGGCAAGAACAACTCAAATAAGCAAAGAGAAACAACAGTCCATCATTACTTTAAGACATGAAGGTCAGTCAATAAAGAACATTTCAAGAACTATGAAAGTTTCTTCAAGTGCAGTCGCAAAAACCATCAAGCGCTATGATGAAACTGGCTCTCATGAGGACCGCCACAGGAATAGAAGACCCAGAGTTACCTCTGCTGCAGAGGATAAGTTCATTAGCGTTACCAGCCTCAGAAATTGCAGCCCAAATAAATGCTTCACAGAGTTCAGGTAACAGACACATCTCAACATCAACTGTTCAGAGGAGACTGTGAATCAGGCCTTCATTTACATTAACATTTACGTCATTTAGCAGACGCTCTTATCCAGAGCGACTTACAAATTGGTGCATTCACCTTATAGCCAGTGGGATAACCACTTTACAATATTATAATTTTTTTGTTGGGGGTGGGGTAAGGGGGGGGTAGAAGGATTACTTCATCCTATCCCAGGTATTCCTTAAAGAGGTAGGGTTTCAAGTGTCTCCGGAAGGTGGTGAGTGACTCCGCTGTCCTGGCGTCGTGAGGGAGCTTGTTCCACCATTGGGGTGCCAGAGCAGCGAACAGTTTTGACTGGGCTGAGCGGGAACTGTGCTTCCGCAGAGGTAGGGGGGCCAGCAGGCCAGAGGTGGATGAACGCAATGCCCTCGTTTGGGTGTAGGGACTGATCAGAGCCTGAAGGTACGGAGGTGCCGTTCCCCTCACAGCTCCGTAGGCAAGCACCATGGTCTTGTAGCAGATGCGAGCTTCAACTGGAAGCCAGTGGAGTGTGCGGAGGAGTGGGGTGACGTGAGAGAACTTGGGAAGGTTAAACACCAGATGGGCTGCGGCATTCTGGATGAGTTGTAGGGGTTTAATGGCACAGGCAGGGAGCCCAGCCAACAGCGAGTTGCAGTAATCCAGACGGGAGATGACAAGCGCCTGGATTAGGACCTGTGCCGCTTCCTGTGTAAGGCAGGGTCGTACTCTCCGAATGTTGTAGAGCATGAACCTACAGGACCGGGTCACTGCCTTGATGTTAGCGGAGAACGACAGGGTGTTGTCCAGGGTCACGCCAAGGCTCTTTGCACTCTGGGAGGAGGACACAACGGAGTTCATGGTCGAATTGCTGCAAAGAAACCACTACTAAAAGGACACCAATAAGAAGAAGAGACTTGCTTGGGCCAAGAAACATGAGCAATGGACATTAGACTGGTGAAAATGTGTCCATTGGTCTGAAGTCCAAATTGGAGATTTTTGGTTCCAACCCCCGTGTCTTTGTGAGACGCGGTGTGGGTGAACGGATGATCTCCGCATGTGTATTTCCCACCGTAAAGCATGGCGGAGGAGGTGTTATGGTGTGGGGGTGCTTTGCTGGTGACACTGTCTGTGATTTATTTAGAATTCAAGGCACACTTAACCAGCATGGCTACCACAGCATTCTGCAGCGATACGCCTTCCCATCTGGTTTGGGCTTAGTGGGACTATAATTTGTTTTTCAACAGGACAATGACCCAACACACCTCCAGGCTGTGTAAGGGCTATTTTACCAAGAAGGAGAGTGATGGAGTGCTGCATCAGATGACCTGGCTTCCACAATCCCCCGACCTCAACCAAATTGAGATGTTTGGGATGAGTTGGACCGCAGAGTGAAGGAAAAGCAGCCAACAAGTGCTCAGCATATGTGGGAACTCCTTCAAGACTGTTGGAAAAGCAGTCCAGGTGAAGCTGGTTGAGAGAATGCCAAGAGTGTGCAAAGCTGTCATCAAGGCAAAGAATCTCAAATATATTTAGATTTGTTTAACACTTTGTTGGTTACTACATGATTCCATATGTGTTATTTCATAGTTTTGATGTCTTCACTATTATTATACAATGTAGAAAATAGTAAAATTAAAAGAAAAACCCTTGAATGAGTAGGTGTTATAAAATTATTGACCGGTAGTGTACATTAGTCTAATCTCAGACATCCCAATTCCTCAACAATGAGTCAAGTCACGGTAAAGCTTTAGGTTGCCCGATTTCACAAATTGGTAAATTAGCATCACTGGCCTAGCTGCTAACACCCCGACGACTCTCAACCAAGTCCTGAGGACTTTGATGTTCTCTGTAAAAGGTCTGCATACCTTCAAGACAAAAGTGTGCATTATTAACCCACATTCGGAAGGCAATGACTGAGCCTTTTATAAGGAGACATGTTGTATTGATGACGCTGATGGAGGAACATGCGTCCAAATACAGAGAGCTATCTGAAACTGAACCGTAAGCATTACCTGAAGTTCAGTCCCAAATGCGATTGAAAGGATTGTTAGAGTTGATTCTACCGTATGGTTTGACAGATTTGACCTCTGGAACAACACTGCTCCTCAGATAACCAAAGTGAAGTTCCTGGCAGGAAGTCAAGGCTGTCAAAGCCACAGAAGTCCAACAAATACATCATATATGGAAGTTCTTTCCATATGAAAAGCAAGTCATGTGATCTTGTGATAACGCCAATGGTCGTCACTTCCCCAGACATTTAAATATTTTTTGGCTATGCATGCACACAGCATAGTTGACTGCAGTTCTGTTCAGCCCCAGAACTACAGATGCAAATTTGTGGCAAACATAATGTGCTTTTACACAATGATACATACATTGTCTTTTCCTATGAACTGCTATAAACTACTACAACCACCACCATAATTTAGCCACCACGACGGCTCTACACTACAACGCAATTCATTGCCCACTATAGCGATAGTTTGAAATCTGGTTTGTGCGCAATACCCGATGATACAGAGGTGACTAAAGCGAGATAACAGAAGTTCTAAATCACAAACATGCATGATGCCATGCCAATTACGGGACCATGTCCTCATGTCCTTAACTCTGTTACGATTAATAAGGAGGGTTGGTTTTGGTTAGCATGAAGAGTAATTCAAACGGCATTGAGTAGCCTACATTATGCAATTGTTAACAGTCATTTTCCATAATATTGCTAGAATGCAATCCAATGCTCTGCCATAAGTACAGACAAAGCATCAGGACAAACTCAGGAGAACTCAAAAGGCAGCAATTTTTGAGGACTAATGGACATTTCAATGTCATGTGCACAGAAGGCAGAGAACTTCTATAGGAGACTAATTGACTTAATAAGTCAGTGTGTGGCTTTGAAAATAGCCAAGCTAATGTGTATATACAGTATAATGTGTATATACTGTACTCTACAAATACAGTATAATGTGTATATACTGTACTCTACAAATACAGCATAATGTGTATATACTCCTCTATACATAAAGTATAATGTGTATATACTGTACTCTACAAATACAGTACAATGTGTATATACTCTATACATACAGTATGTGTATATACTGTACTCTACATACAGTATAATGTGTATATACTCTATACATATACAGTGTAAGCTGTTTCATATCTCAAATAAAATCTCAAAAGTGAGATGTAACTAAAAACACACGTATAACATATTAAAATATTTCCATAAAGACAAAGACTAGATTAAAACAAGTTTGACTAATCCAGTTGTTGGATATATTTTGAATTCAAATGGAATATCCCAGCCATCATTTCACAATCTGACACCTTTAAATACATTCTGTGAATTCATCTTACCAAGAAGGAAAGTAAGCTTGTAGTACTTCATTTCATAGATCGCATGCATCTGGTAATAACACAAATTGCATCTATGTGAGGGGTGGCGATAATTTAAGCACATAAAAAATGCAACGTAATGCACATAATGCAATTACAAAACTGCAGCACTTTTCATTTGTTCATATTTGGGAAAAAGCACTTATTTGGTGTCATCAAAATGCAATTTCTAGTCTCCTCCCACTCTGTGTGGTGATGCTGTGGTTGTCTCCAGTGATGCTAACTGCTTTGCTAACTGTAGTTCTGCCTTAGCCCAGTTCAGTGGCCTGTCACCTCCTACGCATCAACCCCCATCCAGAAATGATTAAAGCCTTCTCCAGGAACACATCAGAAACCCTTTTACTAGAGCAACTTCTTGAAAGTTAAAATAAATAAAAACTAAACAATAAATGTCTGCTGCAGTTGGTGAAAAAGGTGCTCAGAGGAGTGGAGATGAGGAGGAACTGAAATAGGAATTTCACCTTTCCTGTCATTCGCGGTGTTACGGGTATGTTGATACATACCGTGTGTCACAATGGTGTAAGTGAACATGTCGTAACTCTACAGAAATAAAAAAATGAAGTTTACAGTAGATTGATGTATAAAAACAGGAAGTTTACAGTAGATTGATGTATAAAAACAGGAAGTTTACAGTAGATTGATGTATAAAAACAGGACGTTTACAGTAGATTGATGTATAAAAACAGAGTGGCTATTTTAACCCTGCTCTATACAACATGGCCAACACTATTAGGACCTGAGGGAGCAGCCATGGCCATCTTAGACTACACATTCTTAAAACAGAATGTGGTTTTAAGTTTGACTTTTTAATGTTATATCCATCCTCAGGATGAAAATATTATACATTTAATAAATACATATCCTCAGTACAAACCATCCTTAAAGCTATGAAAGTGCAAATATGTTTTGTAGATCAAGGTCTCAAATTCCAGCCATGGTTCATGTCTGGCTTCGTTCCTCTGTTTCCTTTACTCCATATTCCCAGTACCTCTGACCACCCAATCAACAGCAGACGTATGCTTGACCCATGTTGTGATTCCCTCCCACCCAGTCCATCACTACATTTAAATTACCAAAAAGAAAAGACAGCTTGAATGCCAAGCCTAAATGTATATATCCTTTTCCCATCAGCCCCATCCCAACGCATGGATAGCAGAGGCTGAGGTAAATATCCTTTAACCAGAGCCTGAAGTAAATATATTGAAGGTGGTGGTGGTGAGGGGAGATGCCAAAAGAGGGCCAGGCCACTAAACTAACTTGACACAGGGGAGCCTTTGCTTCTTGTTAAATGTATCTTATAGTTTCATCTAAATCTCAAAACTTCCCAGTTGAAACGCGTTCTCTCGGCCTTCAAGAGGCCAGTGTCATCTTCAATTTGTATTATCTTGGCTATGCGCAACTTATTCACAGCCGGTTGCCAACAAGTATTGTTTCTATGAGATGGAGATATTTTGATCCTCCTTCAACAGAGCACCAATAGTCAAACTTAACGAAACGCTCTAAAAAAACATGGTCGGCGATTAACATTGCAGCTTAGAAACAAGAACTTACAATTAATTCCAAACACAAAGTCTGCATTTCAGGACATGCATGTATGCTAAGCACAAAGATTGCTGTAACGATGCTACAGAAAAGTGTGCACATTGTGAAGCTAACGACAGATGTAATTAATGTCAATGCGATTATGGTGGCCTTGTCTATTTGAAACCAAGGAACTGGTCTCGTCGTTATATTATAATTCTAATCATTATTGGGTTTGAGTTCATGGAGCATAAATCTAAAAATCATTGGTTTCCAAGGCAGGGTGAGATTGTATATGAAACAAACAACATTCATTCACAGAACAAAAAAAAACGAAATAGAAAAAATATGAAATTCAGGGCAGATACTGCTTAGTTGTAGACAAACTAAAGTTGCAAGTGTACTAGTTTGTGTTGTATCAAATGAAGCGCCGTTGTCTATGCAGGCACTACATCCACATTTGCAGATCAGTGGCTTTTTCAGTTACTTAGATACTCCTAGCCCTTATATCCCAAATCCCTCTTTGTAAGAAACCTAGAACGGTCTCTCGCCATTGTAAGCAAGGAGAGAGGTGGCACTTCTCTCCACACGTTTTGTGATCGAGTTAAAATTCTCTTAGTGGTGTCAAACAGATTTTGCAAATGTGGATGTAGGTAGGTAGGGTATACCAGACAGTTTGGAGGACCTGGATGTGTGTCTCAAAATGACAGTAGAACGGTTCTAACGTTCAGAGGACAAGGGGTTTCCCAAGGCTCTATGTGGTTGACTGATCAGTTGGTGGTAGTTGTAATACCAGACTCCAGTTGTGTGGCTAGGAGCAGAGGTGGACCACGCCGTTCGTCTTTCGGTCAGTGCCCCCGGTGGTGGGGAGGTCTGTGGACAGGCTGAGGGACAAACCGCCGCTGGCCACACTGCCGCCCTGCAGCACACCACTGGAACCGTTACAGCCCTCACTGCAGAGAACGAAAGGTCAGACAGAGACAGAAAGAAACAAAAAAAAAAACAATGAATCAAACATTTTGTATTATTCTACATCATTTTTAAAATCATTCTCCATGAATTACATAATGACTTGTTAGTTAAGCCATTGACAATGGGAACAGTGCAAGTACCATCTCACTGGTGTAGTTAAGCCATTGACATTGAGAACAGTGCAAATAGCATCTCACTGACAGTGGTACTGACAGTGAATCCATCACTGCAGTAATTTCGTCTCCCAGAACCAAATCTTGAGTGCGTTTCGTTGATTACAAGAGAGGCTTTGGTGAAAAGCGGATCGCACTTATTTTCCCGCGTTCCTTCTATTGTTTTTCCCGGTCCTTTGTGCAACCATATACACTATATATACAAAAGTATGTGGACACCCCTTCAAGTTAGTGGATTCGGCTATTTCAGCCACATCCGTTGCTGACAGGTGTATAAAATTGAGCACACAGCCATGCAATCTCCATAGACAAACATTGTCAGTAGAATGGCCTTACTGAAGAGCTCAGTGACTTTCAACGTGGCACCGTCATAGGATGCTACCTTTCCAACAAGTCAGTTCATCCAATTTCTGCCCTGCTAGAGCTGCCCCGGTCAACTGTAAGTGCTGTTATTGTGAAGTGGAAACGTCTAGGAGCAACAACAGCTCAGCCGCGAAATGGTAGGCCACACAAGCTCACAGAACGAGACCGCCGAGTGCTGAAGTGCATAGAGTGTAGAAATGGTCTGTCCTCGGTTGCAATACTCACTACTGAGTTCTAAACTGCCTCTAGAAGCAACGTCAGCACAATAACTGTTCGTCGGGAGCTTCATGAAATGGGTTTCCATGGCCGAGCAGCCACACACAAGCCTAAGATCACCATGCGCAATGCTAAGCGTAGGCTGGAGTGGTGTAAATCTCTGCGCCATTGAACAATTCTGTGCTTCCAACTTTGTGGCAACAGTTTGGGGAAGGCCCTTTCCTGTTTCAGCATGACAATGCCCTCGTGCACAAAGCGAGGTCCATACTGAAATGGTTTGTCGAGATAGGTGTGGAAGAACTTGACTGGCCTGCACAGAGCCCTGATCTCAACTCCATCAAACACCTTTGGAATGAATTGGAACGCCGACTGCGAGCCAGGCCTATTCGCCCAACATCAGTGCCCGACGTCACTAATGCTCGTGGCTGAATGGAAGCAAGTCACCGCAGCAATGTTCCAACATCTAGTGGAAAGCCTTCCCAGAAGTGTGGAGGCTGTTAGAGCAGCAAAGTGGGGACCAACTCCATACTAATGCCCATGATTTTGGAATGTTCGACAAGCAGGTGTACACATACTTTTGGTCATGTAGTGTACAGTGCCTTGCAAAAGTATTCATCACCCTTGGCGTTTTTCCTATTTTGTTGCATTACAACCTGTTATTTAAATTGATTTTTATTTGGAATTCATGTAATGGACATACACAAAATAGTCCAAATTGGTGAAGTGAAATGAAAAAAATTACTTGTTAAAAAAAAATCTAAAAAATAAATAACAGAAAAGTGGTGCGTGCATATGTATTCACCCCCTTTGCTATGAAGCCGCTAAATAAGATCTGGTGCAACCAATTACCTTCAGAAGTCACATAATTAGTTAAATAAAGTCCACCTGTGTGCAATCTAAGTGTCACATGATCTCAGTATATGTACACATGTTCTGAAAGGCCCCAGAGTCTGCAACACCACTAAGCAAGGGGCACCACCAAGCAAGCGGCACCATGAAGACCAAGGAGCTCTCTAAACAGGTCAGGGACAAAGTTGTGGAGAAGTACAGATCAGGGTTGGGTTATACAATTTTTTATCAGAAACTTTAAAACATCCCACGGAGCACCATTAAATCCATTATAAAAAAATGGAAAGAATATGACACTACAACAAACCTGCCAAGAGAGGGCCGCCCACCAAAACTCACAGACCAGGAAAGGAGGGCATTAATCAGAAAGGCAACAAAGAGACCAAATATAACCCTGAAGGAGCTGCAAAGCTCCACAGCGGAGATTGGAGTATCGGTCCATAGGACTACTTTAAACCGTACACTCCACAGAGCTGGGCTTTACGGAAGGGTGGCCAGAAAAAAGCCATTGCTTAAAGAAAAAAATAAGCAAACATGTTTGGTGTTCGCCAAAAGGCATGTGGGAGACTCCCCAAACATATGGAAGAAGGTACTCTGGTCAGATGAGACTAAAATTTAGCTTTTTGGCCATCAAGGAAAACGCTATGTCTGGCGCAAACCCAACACCTCTCATCACCCCAAGAACACCATCCCCACAGTGAAGCATGGTGGTGGCAGCATCATGCTGTGGGGATGTTTTTCATCGGCAGGGACTGGGAAACTGGTCAGAATTGAAGGAATGATGGATGGCGCTAAATACAGGGAAATTCTTGAGGGAAACCTGTTTCAGTCTTCCAGATATTTGATTTTCGTTTTTTTTGTCTTATTTCTTGTTTGTTTCACAATAAAAAATATTTTGCATCTTCAAAGTGGTAGGCATGTTGTGTAAATCAAAATATACAAACCCCCCAATAATCCATTTTAATTCCAGGTTGTAAGGCAACAAAATAGGAAAAATGCCAAGGGGGTGAATACTTTCGCAAAAGCCACTGTATTTTACAGCATCAAATGGCTGTAGTTTGTAACTTCTAATATTTCAAAAGCCATTTCAAACCAATGTGAGAAAATTTGGGTGATTTCTAAGACAGAATTTCTCATCTTAGATATTTTCTAGGTGTTTTTAAGGGAGAATTATGGAGCAACCTTAACGATTCCTTATGGCACAGCAGTTGAGATGAGCTACTACTAGTCTTGCTGTGTGCCGTTTACCTGAGGACCAACGAGTGCTCCGCTCTCTGCCCGTTCTCAGTGGGCTTCAGCTTGTACGCCCCACTCCCATCATGACACACAAGGTGCTCCTGCAAGGGGACAATGGCACCACTGTCAGTTCACCACAATAGTGACTGGGAGAGTGAAAGCTTGTACGCTTTGGAGTCTACATCAAGATTGTCTCAGAAAAGCTTTCAAGATGCACTTGTTGGGCTCGGTTGTGTTTTACTCTTTCATGTTTTACAAGTGAGATAGCAGTAGCAGTGACATTAGCCGAGGGCTCCTTCAGCCCTGCTCCTGTTCACAAAGCCATTTTAGAGATCAAAGCAGGCTGTGTGTGTATTTCTCCCTCTCCTGCCTGTCGCTCTCCATCTCTATTTGTCCATCTCTGTGCTGCTCTCTCTCACCAGGGCTATCTGGCGGGTCCTCTTGCCGATCTCCCTCTCCACACGGTGGAGCTCCAGGCTCAGCTGTTGGCTGGAGACACTCCCCGACGACCACTCCTCCGGGCTGGGCTGGTCCGCCTGGGCAGTCTGCTTGTTGATCTGCTGATTGACCTGCTGGAGCTCCATCGTCAGCTGCTCCCTCTCCTTGACTGGCCGTTCACTGAGGTGGGCCTGAGGGGGCTGGCTGTAAGGGGCAGCACCCCACCCTGCACCCTTCCCATAGTGGTAGTCCGCTGTGGGGGACAACAAGAGCCAGTCAGACTGCGAAATGCAGTGAACGGAGCAAAACCCAAAAGGTGTGCGAGTTCTCCCTGTACCTGTTGCAGCGCCGTGTTTGGGGCTATTGGTTCCCTGTGAGGGGGTCATGGCCTGCCCCGGCCCGGCAGTCAAGTAGCCAGTCTTGGGGGTGCGGGAGATCACCCCGAAGCGTGACACGGTGGGCAGGGAGCCGAAGGGGATGATAGGGTCGTCGTCTCTGGCCTCAGCAGCCCTGCGCCTGCCTTCCACACCTTTCCCCTCAGTGTTCTACAACACCCATAGAGACCACAAACAGTGGAATTAGTTATGGCATTATATAATGTTGCATAGAGAAACTACAGACCCACTCCAGTGAAAATGGAAACAGTGGTTGAAAAACTATTTGTTGAGTTTAACCGTGTTCTCGATAAATCTCAGGACTTCTAGTGACTTCTAGTGACCTTTGATCAGTCAACAAGGTGAAAGTGACCTTTGATCAGTCAACAAGGTTTAAAAAGGAAACATCTGTCAAAGAAAAAAATGTAAACAGATGTTTGACCTATTGCAAGAGATTGAGCTTTGGAAAATGTTTTGATCTTTAGATATTCCGATTTGGAACTTTTAAAAAGCGGTCAAGCTTTACACCAAACAAACAGGACATTGATTAATGAGACTCACCATCATCTCTATGTTGTTTTTGGACTTCCCCTCCTTGCTGCCAATGTAGGAGCCGATAGTGTCACATGACCAAGGAGAGTACTGGCTAGCGTAGTCTGGCTCACGATACTTTGAGAACGCTTGTGAGTTCTCCATGTACTGCTGTTGCTGTGACACACACACACAGTATTTTTAAGCAACCTATTCTTTGAAGTAACTAACAGCTGTGGCAGCACGTGGGGTGAGGTGCTACCATTGAATATTACCATAGACAGCAGCCCAGTGTTCCCTCTTACCTCCTGTGTGTAGTTGGACTCGTAGTGGTGTGGCAGCGTGGGCGAGGGGGCGAAGGGTGGTGGAGTGACCTGCTTCCTGTCCTCCAGCTGGGCCATGATCTCCTGGCGCCGGCGGTGCAAGTAGTCCAGACTGGGAGTGGGCTGGGGCCGGCTGTAAGCCTCCTGTACAACAGGACGTGGACACCTTTACTGTAGTGCACTTTTGCAGTGATGGAAATACATTTTTTAAGTGGATTTATCCTGGACACTATGATAATTGGCTGAATATGGTCATTACTCAATCTGGATAAGGCTGATGACTGAACTACTAAAAAGTAATTGCATAGGTGGCATAGTAATGTATACTGTCATTTAGAAGAGCCTCGTACTGCAGACTTGTTCTTACCCTGGGGGTGTAGGGCCTCATGTGGCTGGGGTGGGGGCCAGGGGGGTGGTACCCCTCAGGAGGGTATCTTTCTCTGGAGGCCTCATCCGCAGGCATGGAGGAGGGGTCCTCCCGGTGGGGATAGGACTGTGGTGGTGGCGGGGGGTAGGCGGGGTGTCGACGGCCGTCGTAATGCGGGGGAGGCGGATACCCATGGGGGTTGGCGTTGGAGAAGTGGGGACCCGAGGGCTGGGGGGGAGGAGGACACTGGCGCTCCTGGGGGTAGGTGCCGGGGTAGGGGGGCTCGGGGTACGGGGGCAAGGCCGGGTCATTGGGGGGAGGGGGGTTCCGGATGTAGCGAGGCTGGGGAGGGTACTGGGAGGGCTGGTAGGGGTAGGGGGGGTTACCTGACAGGACACAGAATAGTGACAACATGATTGGTGTTAGATAAGCACAATGAAACCACACGACTTGGAGATTTACAAGTCCAATTGCTCCCAGAGAGAAACAGTTTTTAAAATCAGCTGTTGAGTCATAAGCTCGAGATACATAGATGTATACAAAAAAAAGGAAATCACAGAACAAAGTATAGTTTGTGCTGCCTTACCTGGGGGGTACTGGGAGGACTCATACTGCAGGGCTGATGGAGGTGTCCTGGGCTCAGGGGGGTAGAAGAGTTCTCCCTGCTGAGGGGGGTACATGGGGGGCCTCCTGGGCATCTGCTTGTGCATGGCCAAGTGGTCCGCTGCCATCCTGGGGTGGGCCATGGCCCGATTGGGCACAGGGTCCAGTCTGAGAAAGCCATAGAGGATTTCAGTGTGTGTGTGCGTGTGTGTGTATGACAGATGCTGTGTGTCCATCTACTCACAAGTCTGGAGGAGAGCTGGGGGCACTGAGGCTTCCCTGGGACTGGGGCTTCCGCATCATGGGCTCATAGGAGGGGTCGGCGCCGCGGGAGATGAGCTGGGGCAGGGCGGAGCCTGTGACCGACGTCACCATGCCATTCGTCAGGCCCTTGTGGGCCAGCCCCTCCAGCATCCCCACCTCCTCAGGCAATAGGCCGACCTCGTTCAGCTGCGTCAGGGATAGGCTGAGGGGCCGGCGGGCAGCCAGCCGCTTGTTCATCTTACGGTACCTTCAGAAAGGAGGAAAAAGACGTGGTTAGTGAAAGAGGTTTTAACACCAGTGTCTGCCCTAATGATTGCTGTCACACTAGCAGTGCTGAATTGAACTTTCCGCCAAACATCAATACATAATTGACCGTTAAGTAAAATTGGGAGTGTCTCAGGGTGGAGAGTTGTACTCACTTCTCTAGCTCGTCCTGAGAGTGAGCGAAGGTGCAGCTGGCTCCTCGAGGACAGCCCCCCTTCTGCTTCATGTCCCGACACATGTATGTCTTGTATTTACTGTGCTGGGGCGGCTGGGGAGGGGACACCACAGGCCACGTAAAAATTCACAAGCCAAAATATATGTTATCGTTACTGTTATGGTCACAAACCCGCAGACAACCAGACGGCTATTACTAGTTTCATTCCAGATTCAAACATGGGTCGTGTTCATCAGGCAGCAAACAGAAGAAAATTGACTGAAACAGGGAGGGACTGCCTCCAGTTAGTTTTATAAGAAATGCACATTTTCGTTTTCTGTTGCAAAATGACGTTTTGTGCCCTAATGAACACGACCCTATCATTACCCATCATTTCAGACCTGTTCTATTGATTTAGATCTTATTTTGAGGTATGAGTTTCTAGATTCAGACCTGTTGCGGATCGCTCCCCTTCTTGCTGTGGTTCTGGATGAAGTCCACCAGGCCGTGTACCACGGTCTTCACTGCCACCAAGCCCGTGTCCAGCAGCTCCCACGTGGGGGGAGGGGAGTCTAAGATGGAGGACAAGACGGGGTATTTTTCAGTCAGATGTGTTATACCTGGAAGAGCACTGGGGACAGGGTCTAACAGGCATGTGAATGTACGGCACAGTGTTGCTTACATTTAAAAACGCATTCCTTTTACTGATCTAAAAAAGGTATACAACTTACTCTACACTTCTAAAGTGAGAGTATTGAGGGCTTCTCACACTGCTGAGCTGAACCAAGCCAAACAAAGCTGTACTGAGCTGACAATGTGAAAAGAAAATATCAGAGCCAGCACAGTTTTGTCCGGGTCGGCACGATAGTGTGAAAAGGGTAGTAGTGTGATGTAAATGGAGCAACCTGGGCTGGGGTCGATGTTGGCTAGCAGCTCCAGGTGTGGTCGCAGGCGGTTCAGGTTGGCCGGGTCGCCCGTCCTCTGCAGGGCGATGGTCAACTCCTGAACGCTCTGAGCAAACGACGCTGGCGTCTGCAACTGACACACACACAATTCCGGTTCAATACACAGCAACACCACTCCAGGGCTAAGTCATGTTATATCAAAATAAATATGTCGTCCATCACACACACACCTCCTACACACCTTGTCAATGATGGACTGCATGTGGGACTTGTGCGACTGGTCCCCGTAGAGCAGGGAAGACCACTGGTCAGGGGCGATGCGGAGGCCCCCCTCCATTGCGATCTGGACGATCTGGGAGTCGTGTTCGCGCCTCAGCGCCTCGTACGTCCAGAAGTCCTCCTTCAACTGCATCAGGGACGAGTCCTCGTCACGCTTGGTCACCTGAAGACACGGGGTGACAGACAGGACAACATCAGGGCAGATACATCTGGGTTGTGTTCATTAGACTGATATGAAGAAAATGCACTGAAAGGGACTGGGAGGAGGGACTACCTCCCATTTTCATTTCTGTTGCAAAATGTTTTAAAACACTTTCAGTTGCGTGCCCTAAAGCAGCAGGCTCTGTAAAGGAGCTGCATCGCATAACCTATGCTGGTCTTAGAAACGTGTAATAATAATTAACAATTTGGTGGGTGCTTATATTTGTCCATCGTGGTCCTCTGTAGCTCAATGTAGTCCTCTGTAGCTCAGCTGGTAGAGCACGGCGCTTGTAACGCCAGGGTAGCGGGTTCGATCCCCGGGACCACCCATACATAAAAATGTATGCACACATGACTGTAAGTCGCTTAGGATAAAAGCGTCTGCTAAATGGCATATTATTATATTATATTATTAATACGCATGTGTGAATTGAAAATCCCAACTCTCCTCTAGACACCGTCGGAGAGTCGGGTCACGGCCATGTGTATGTTTGTATGGGTGTAGGTAGTGTCAGACCTACCTTGAAGCAGGAAGCCCTGTAAAGGAGCTGCACCACGTGGCCTATGCTAGTCTTGGAGGCCTGGGGGAAGCGTGGCTCTAACCTCTGGACCACAAACAGCACCAGGACCTTCCTGGACAGAGCGGAGCCGTCCTCCAGAGCCAAGAGCACCAGCTTCAGAGCCTCCTCCTGCATCGCTACAACAGACAGCACAACACATGCTTGCCATTTTTCCTCAGATGGCATTCATTTTCTCAGTCGTTCAGGACGGATGCAATTGAAACATTGACATGTTGTCATTTGGGCCCAGACTTATTATATATATTTTTGTGTTAAAATAAAGAAAATGATATGTGCCTAACTTGCATAAATAAAACAATTAACATAACGGGGTGGGACAGGGCTCCAACCACCAAAACACTTGCTCTGTCTAAGCCTACCTGCAGTCAACTGCGCTGTCTAGACTGCCTCATTAATTACTGTCGCTGTCACGTTCTGTTGCATAATTCAACAAGTGAGTCAATAGCAGGATACTTTCGGATAAAGAAATCTACATGCTTGGCTCTAGATTACACCTCTATAAATACTTTACATTATAGTTGAGATCAGACATAATAATCACTATAATCCCAGTGTTCATTTTCGGAAGTTGCTTTCATTTCAGCGCATCTAATTAGTAAACACCCATCAAAATAAAGTGATCCTATTTCTTGTGATGCAAGTGTCAAGACGATGCGTTAAATCCCTAACGAAGCTTTAGCATTGTTAAAGATGCAACGGAAAGACAATGTATTCCTTTGAACCCATTTTAGCCATTACCGGGGTGTGTTTGACAGGTCAATACAAACATTTCTGCGGTCGTAACGTTAACGGGGGGAAAACGACAGGCACAAGCAAGAGTACGAAAGAGTCACAGGAGTAAAATGAAAGGAATCAATCCAGCGAGATTTAAGTGACAAATGGATTTTGCACCCCATAAACACAGAAAATAGATGGCTGAGAAAGACAGATCCTCATGGACGTGCACTTTGCTGTTGTATGTGTGGTACCTGGGCCGAGAAACTGGCAGCCCCTTGCCCTGACTGCAGCCCACAGGTTTGAGGAGAGCTGCTGCGGGTTCTGGTGCTGCAGAATGAGCTCAGTGACGGTGCGCTCCCCCAAAGACCTGGCCGCCCGCGTAGCCCTCACCCGGCCCTCCTCCTCCACCAGCTGACAGTGCACCAGGGTCACCAGCTTCCTCTGCATGGGCCGACTCAGAGAACTCTGGGCACTGCTGGTGCTCAACCCCACACCTGGAGGAGAGGAGAGGAGGAAAAGTGAGAGAGCGAGCGAGAAAGGCTAGGGTTGACACTATCCATAGCAACTTACAACCAGTGTGAACAATAAGGGGGGGACTGTGGAACAGCAAAACACACATGTATCAAAGCAAATGGATAAGGTGGAGAGGAAATGGAAAGAGTGCAGGTGCAGGTGTGAGGAGGAGGAGAGAGAAGAAGCACCATTCAAGATGATGCCTGTTAAAGCAAGATAAGCGAGAGTGAAGAGAATGAGTGCACTAGACTAGAATGATGATTGTGAGTTGCTAAAAAGGGAGAGTGGTTGAAACTGTTGCTATTGAATATGATACGTTGAGAAATGAATATAGGCTTGTCTCACAATTCATGAGCCATGGTTGTTACTGTCAGCAGGATGAGGTGGTGTCTGACTGACCTCTGCTGTTGCTCAGGGGTTTCAGGTACTGAGCCAGCTCCTCCACACACTCACTGGCTTCCTCATAGTGGGCTATGTCCTCTGCCCCCGTCACCAAGGTGGTAGGCTCCCGTTTGGGCACCTGGGGAGAGAAAAGAGATAGTGTGTGTGTGTGTGCGTGCGTGTGTGCGTGCGCGCGAAAGAGAGAGACAAATACTTCATTCTATAGCTAGAGGACTCCTGACATCTCCGGGAGTGATAAGTATAATTTTAGTTGTTGTCTAGTAGTCTTTTTGCTATCTAGGGCTATCTACTTTAAGTGCCACCTGTCTTCCCAGTAGCCTACATGGTGTGTGAACTGCTGACTGCTCATAACTTGCAGATGATTGTTGACACATCAACCAGGATTAAGGGGAAGGGCAATTTGTGACTGTTGAGGTTTTGGTAATCAATGTCAGCGGCGGTCTCGTTGTCAAAACGAAGACTGTCACCGAAACAAAGACGGTTCTGCAGAGTTGTTGGAGGAAGGAAGGAGGAAGGCGCCACACCACTCTCTCACTCGAGTATCTTACCTAGTTATTTACAGATTCTCATTTTGTAGCTTTGGCAACTGTGTGTTTTCTATCCCAGTTTGCTCCTCTCCCCTTGGCTGCAACCCTTCTAATTTAGTGTACCCTGCGCGCACAACCCATGTGGAATCATGCAATCCGGCAGCGTTTGGAACTGCCGATCTGCAGTCAAGAACGCTGAGTTTCTCAGCCTATGATGCCCTTCAGTCCATATACTTTTTGGCCCTGACGGAGACATGGATCACCCCAGAGAACACTGCTACCCCAGCTGCTCTCTTGGGGGCTGCGTGCTACGCCACTGCTTATAACTATAAAGTTAGGTACAACTATAAGAAATCTAAGATGTGTCAAATAAATGATATCCAGCTCAGAGCTCCAGCTATGCATTTGGTTTGCTAACTTGCTAGCTAAGTGGCTAGATGTAAAAATCAAGCTTCTTGGTTACAGCAGATGCATTCAATCCCCTCCTGGATCAAGATCCTTGTTGCCTATAGTTTTGTGCTTAAATTAATCTTATTTTTTTTAATTGTGTGCACATTCGTTAATACTGTATACCCTGGTATGGAACAGAAACGGTATGAGAATGTGGATATCGCCCAACCCTATCACCCACCAGGTGCCCTTTGAGAGTTCCTCAATGAGCTTGACACCTTGATAATCTAACTTCCTGACGATGGCTCACTGCTCTTCGTACTGGGCGACTTCAACCTCCCGACGTCTGCCTTTGATTGATTTCTCTCCCAACTCTTTATTTCCCCTCACCCTTTCCCAGTCCCCTTCCACTCACAAGGCAGGCAATACGCTTGACCTCATCTTTATTAGAGGCTGTTCGCCTACTAATCTCATGGTAACCCCCCTCCAGGTCTCTGATCACTACTTTGTTTCCTTTTCTGTCACCCTCTCCTCCAACCCTAACCACTCAGCCCCTACCCAGATGGTGATGCACCATCTTCACTCTCTTTCTCCCACTACTCTCTCCTCTTCTATCCCATCATCTCTACCTTTTGCTAAATCCTTCTCCCAAATGTCTCCTCATTCTGCCTCGTCGACCCTACTATCCACCCTTTCGGCATCCTATGACTCACAATGTCCCCTTTCCTCCCGGCCAGCTCGGCCCTCCCCTACTGCTCCGTGGCAGAGTGACTCATTGCGAGCTTACAAAACAGGGCTGCGGGCAGCTGAGCGAAAATGGAGGAAAACTAAACTTCCGGAGGACCCATCATCCTGTCACTCCCTCCTCTCTACCTTCTCTTCCTCTGTATCTACTGCTAAAGCCACTTTCTATCACAAAATGTCAAGCTTCTGCCTCTAACCCTAGGAAACTATTTTCCACCTTCTCCCGCAATCATCCACCCCCTCCCGCTCCCCCTCCCTGCGGACAACTTTGTCAACCACTTTGAAAAGAAGGTTGACAACATCCGCTCCTCATTCACTCAGCCCATTGAGTCCACTGGTCCCACTCACACAGAACTACCCTACGCCTTGACCTCTTTCTCCAGATGAAATCCTTCGACTAGTGAAGTTCGGCCGCCCGACAACCTGCCCGCTCGACTCCATCCCTTCCTTCAGACCATCTCTGGAGACCTTCTCCCATTCTTCACTTCCCTCATCAACTCATCCCTGACCATGTCTGTGTCCCCTCGGACTTCAAAATGGCCCGAGTCGCTCCCCTTCTCAAGAAACAACACTCGACCCCTCTGACGTCAAAAACTACAGGCTGGTATCACTTTGCTTTTCTTTCCAAAACACTTGAGCGCGCCGTCTCTGAAAAACTCTATCTCTCTCAGAACGATATTCTTGACCCTAACCAGTCAGGTTTCAAGACGGGTCACTCAACCGAGACTGCTCTTCTCTGAGTCATGGAGACTCTCCGCACTACCAAAGCTGACTCTCTCTGTTCTCATCCTCCTAGATCTATCCACTCTCTCAGGACTGGGCTTCTCAGGCCCTGCACACTCTTGGATTGCATCCTATCTGGCAGGCTGCTCCTACCAGGTGACGTGGAGAGGATCTGTGTCTGCACCACGTACTCTCACTACTGGTGTCCCTCAGGGCTTGGTTCTAGGCCTTCTCCTTTTCGCGCTATACACAGTCACTCAGCTCCGTCATATCCTCACATGGTCTCTATCATTGCTATGCAGATGGCACTGAACTACTTTTATCCTTCCCCCTTCTGACACCCAGGTGGCGACACGCATCTCTGCTTGCCTGGCAGATATCTCAGCTTGGATGTCGGCTCACCACCTCAAGCTCAACAAGACAGAGCTGCTCTTCCTTCCGGGGAAGGCCTGCCCACTCCAAGACTCTCCATTACAGTTGACAACTCCACGGTGTCCCCCTCCCAGAGTGCAAAGAACCTTGGTGTGACCCTGGACAACACCCGATTGTTTTCTGCAAACATCAAAGCAGTGTCTCGCTCCTGCAGGTTCATGCTCTACAACATCCGTAGAGTACAACCCTACCTCACACAGGAAGCGGCGCAGGTCCTAATCCAGGCACTTGTCATCTCCCGTCTGGACTACTGCAACTCGCTGTTGGCTGGGCTCCCCGCTTGTGCCATTAAACCCCTGCAACTTATCCAAAACACTGCAGCCTGCCTGGTGTTCAACCTTCCCAACTTCTCCCATGTCACCCCGCTCCTCCGCAGACTCCACTGGCTTCCATTCGAAGCTTGCATCCACTACAAGAACATGGTACATGCCTACGAAGCAGCAAGAGGAACTGCCCCTCCCTACCTTCAGGCTCTGCTCAAACCCTACACCCCAACCCGAGTACTCTGTTCTGCCACCTCTGGTCTCTTGGCCCCCCCACCCCTACAGGAGGGCAGCTCCCGCTCAGCCCAAGCTCTTCTCTGTTCTGGCACCTCAATGGTGGAACCAGCTTCCCCCTGAAGCTAGGACAGCAGAGTCCCGGGCCATCTTCCAAAAACATCTGAAATATCCCAAATGGGGAATATAGTGTGATGGTTCCGAACACTCCTTAAACAATCCATAACAGAAGCACGATACTGAAAACAGTCTCCACAAACATATGACACATGATCGAAAGAACCGTCTATTGCAACCTGACACACAAGTGTAAATGACCATTCTCACAGACGTGTGGGGAATGGGATAGTATCTGCAGGGTTCTTCTAGGACTTTGGCTTCAATTGGTATCAACAGACAGAAGATTTTGGTGCCAGAGGATTGAGATATTGCTTCAGGATATCCGGATTAGATATGAATGCCAGGCAATGGGGGTGCATTGTAGCCTGGTCCCAGATAAGTTTGGGCCTGACCATAAGAGTTGGTCAGACAGCACAAACAGATCTAGGACTCATTGTATTGTGCCATCATTTCCCAAAAGCCAGAGTACAGAACAAACCATCCAAACCAGGATGAGTCATTTAGATCCAGTATATTTTGAACCACTTGAGAGGGACAGATCTAGTTTCCCTTTCCTCATATCAGAGAACTAAATGGCACTCTTGTATGTGTCGTCAGAAAACACAAACCCAGATGTGAAACGTGTGCGCGCGCACACACACACACACTAAAATACATAGGCAGTCTCACACGGTCAGTGGTAAACTAGAACAAGTTGTACAGTCTTCCCCTTTCAACAAGAGTTTTGCCTTTGGAATGTGTGTGTGGATGAAACTGCACTAGAGAAAACCAAATCAAATGCAGACCTCTCTGTGAGCTCCTTTTCGAAGGCTGTTTGTTTGGGATCAGGGAGGGAAATTAAAACCAGCCAAATGCTGGTAGATTTTGGCATTGGCAGGGAAAATGTCTATTCTTACCAGCCATAGAGCATATCGGACCAAAAAAAAGCAATACACACATATACATATATATACACACAGTGAGGGAAAAATGTATTTGATCCCCTGCTGATTTTGTACGTTTGCCCACTGACAAAGACATGACCAGTCTATAATTTTAATGGTAGGTCTATTTGAACAGTGAGAGACAGAATAACAACAAAAACATCCTGAAAAACGCATGTAAACATTTTTATAAATTGATTTGCATTTTAAATGAGGGAAATAAGTATTTGACCCCTCTGCAAAACATGACTTAGTACTTGGTGGCAAAAACCCTTGTTGGCAATCACAGAGGTCAGACGTTTCTTGTAGTTGGCCACCAGGTTTGCACACATCTCAGGAGGGATTTTGTTCCACTCCTCTTTGCAGATCTTCTCCAAGTCATTACGGTTTCGAGGCTGACATTTGGCAACTCGAACCTTCAGCTCCCTCCACAGATTTTCTATGGGATTAAGGTCTGGAGACTGGCCAGGCCACTCCAGGACCTTAATGTGCTTCTTCTTGAGCCACTCCTTTGTTGCCTTGGCCGTGTGTTTTGGGTCATTGTCATGCTGGAATACCCATCCACGACCCATTTTCAATGCCCTGGCTGAGGGAAGGAGGTTCTCACCCAAGATTTGACGGTACATGGCCCCGTCCATCGTCCCTTTGATGCGGTGAAGTTGTCCTGTCCCCTTAGCAGAAAAACACCCCCAA